ACTCTTTGTCTCTTTCCTTAATCAATCATTCTCTTTCCTTTAGTTTTTTAAAATTTGTTTTTTTGGTTATTTTCATCATCGTTGGAATGCCTACTCTTTATCATGTGCGATTTCTATCTCATGGTTTCAAATATATTTCCTCTTTAATTATTATAATCATTTATATATGTATTCAGTATACCTATACGTGTTCTTTCAACAATCATAGTGATTCAACTTCTTTTTCTTTTGTCTATACAATTTTCTGCCCTCAGCCTTGGCAGCAATTGGGGAGAAGGAATGGTTCTTCTACGTGCCGAGAGATCGAAAGTACAGAAACGGGGATCGACCAAACCGTGTTACTACTTCTGGCTACTGGAAGGCAACAGGAGCTGACCGCATGATTCGAGCAGAGAACTCTCGATCAATTGGCCTCAAGAAAACCCTAGTCTTCTACTCCGGAAAAGCTCCCAAAGGCATCCGAACCAGTTGGATTATGAACGAGTATCGTTTACCTCAGCACGAAACTGAACGTTACCAGAAGGTACCCATTTTTCTACAGCTCTTCCGATCCACAAAGAATCATCAATATTTGATATAGAAGAATTACAGAAAAGCCTTTTGGGTCCCTTCATCCTCAAGTTCCTCAAACAGTATTTGATATTACACATCCAGCGGGTCATAAGATCCACTGGGTTCGAAAATTTTGAATCATACGCTTCTCTCCTTTCACTAAACCCTAATTTCTCTTTTTAGATAATTCAAACTAGTATAATCTTCTTATTCTCCTGAAAAAAGGCTTTCAAGTTTAATTGTCAGTTCCAAAGTTTCAGTTTTGGTAACCAGGATCCAAAGCACGTACAACATGATTCCATCCGGGAAATCAATATATAATTGCAAGATTTTGCTCCGTATATGGAGCAAGACAAACAGATAAAGATAACAGTATCACAAAGAACATTACTGACAGTGGGGTTTCCAGTCTTGTTGTTATTTAATTGATTTCAGTATTAAATCTCGCTCTCTCTTTTTTCTCTCTCAAAACTGATAGCAACATGCATGACCTTCAAATTCAATGACCCATACGCCCCTTACATGTATTGAATACTACTGCTACTTCTAATAACTGCAACGGTGCTCAATGTCTTGAAAGTTTTTAATTTAGGTCCCTTATCTTCCATGAAATTTGCTTCGTCCTTCACCAGCTCCTTGATTTCATTTTCTTTCCGTGTTTCCTTTTTTCCAGGCTGAAATATCGCTTTGCCGCGTCTATAAGAGAGCTGGAGTGGAAGATCACCCCTCACTCCCTCGCTGTCTTCCAACCAGGCCATCCGCCTCATTGAGAGGGCAGCAGTCGGGCAAGAAATATCCCCACGATGCTGCTCAACAAGCCATGGGAAGGTTTCACGGTTTTGGAGGACAATCACAACAAATGGAGATTGAAAAGATCAGTGAAACTGATGGAAGCAGTAGTAGTACTTCCGATGTTACAACAGCTCTCGGACTTTCCAAGCAGAATGTATACCGTCCGATGGCTCCTATAAGCACAACACTTGGGTTACCATCAGGAATAGAAGAGGAAGGAATGTTCTTAAATCAGTCTAAGCAAGGCTGCAGCTCTTTAGTCCCCAATTGCACAACTGTCTTTACAGTTGGCTCTTCTGTTTCGCCAAATGTTGTGGATGATCTCCACAGGCTAGTAAGCTACCAACACGCTACAATGAATCAGCAGCAGCATTACTATAGTGATCATCATCATCAACAGCAACAACAATCCGAGCTTTCTACTTTGCCTTCACAATCACAGCAGCTTTCTCTCAACATGCTACCCAGCTCGCTTCCTACGGCCTTCTCGGACAGGCTGTGGGAGTGGAATCCAATCCCCGAAGCAAATAGGGAGTACAACAATCCTTTCAAGTAGGCCCTGAACTGCATATATCATACATATAGATATACTATATGCTGCTCTACTGATTTGTGTCTAGACGACCTTAATTTCTCTACTTTCATTTTTACTATCTCACTAGCTAGCATTCAGATATAACTGATATCGATCAACTAGTATTTGTTTCTCTAGTGGATTTTTTTTTTATGAGGTTGTTTGATTCCTTCAGTAGTAATTTCTTGCTGGGGTTTAGCTAGATAGGTCAGGGCACTGCAGCCTGGGGCTCCAAGTTAAAGAAGGAATATATATTGTCATCAACTTAGTCATAGTGTAGATCTTGAAGACAAAGTAATGTTTCCAGATCCAACTGAATCTGGTTAACTTACTCAGCATTACGTTTTCTTTAAGCTTCAAAACACTGTCATGGCCTGAAATGGAGTTTTGCTCTCTGATGTGTCACTGTACACCAGAGAACGATGATGGGATGATTGATTCCCAAAGCAAAGATTACTAGCGAAAAGCAAGATACACCTTGAAGAGTATTGCAGAAGTGCGGTTGGACCCATCCCTCAAACAAATATCCGCAATGAAGACATCAATGACTGTCCTGTTTTGATGCTTTTGTTCGTGAAAAAGGCTTCACTAGTCATCCCCAAAGGAAAAACATCGTTGGATGTTTTGCACTCAAGCTAAAAGGTAAATGAAAAACAGACTACATTGAGAAAGAGCATGCCCACGATCGAGGACATCACACATCTTCTGATCTTCATTTTGATTAAAAGTAGTTGGATTTAGAAACCCCTCCCATCTGACTCTCCCTCCGCGAGTAATTACAGACATTAAAGAACATAGAGCATGGATAATCTGGTCTAGTTGTTTGCAGTAACCAAGTCATAGGGCGTAGCTGTATTTTAAACTAGGCATCTAGGGTGCAGTCATTATCGCTGCAAAGTCATGGAGAACTGCATGTGCACACTTTGTGGGCGTGCTTGCTTCATTGCGGGCGGAGCTTTGTGGCTGTGGCGTTTTCAGTTTAGAGCTAGAGAGGTCCATGGCCTGTCTGTGTGCAGCGCACTGTCCTCCTAAGACCTAATTCTACTTTATCAGCTTCTTTTTATTCCTCAGTGAATGAAAATAAATGCATGTTGACAGTCCGAAAGAAACGTACGGCTACCATTTTTACCTTGGAGGATAGTTGACGTGGTGACACCCTTCTCTTCTCATTTCAGCACGAGGTAACATATTAAACAAGCTAACACACAATTAGACAATGTAAATTTGTTGCAGATGGGTTTAATTTCTTGAACCTTTAGATCAACTAAATCCAAATAAAAGATGCTGAGAAGGGCCTTAAATTAAAAACATCCCCAAACGTCATGGAGCATAACTCCTAATTCAGATTTCAAACGTAGTTTACATGATCCATTACCTTTTTGGCCATAAAGAACATTACATCGTGTTATGATTTTCATTTCAGTTATAAGGTTTACTATTTTCATTTTTTTGTTCATCAGGATTTTAAGCTATACAATCTTCTTAATCATATAAATTTTATGTTATCCATCACAAAACTTTGAGATTTTCATATTGAAGTTCTCGACCATGGCAATGCCCCATTAGCGACATTACAAGTTGACCCTATCAACCAACATCTTATCCCTACTTCTTTAAATTCTTGAAACTATATATAACTGAACTTAAATTAACCTAAAGTTAATGATGACTAACAAGCAAATGCAATCTTTAGGAAGATACAGTTTTGTAGGTGGCAAGTAGGCTTGCCAAAAGCCAACATTCCAAAACGGTTTAAAAGACCTGTCGCTTACGCTTTGGTCTTAATGGTGTTAAGGTATCGCACTCAGGGTTAAAAGGTAAAGCAGTCACAATCCAGATTCATTACGGAGTTTGGAAACTCAAACTTGCAACGAGACTCCTACAAAGGACTTAACTTCTATCATAACATAGCAGAGATGGATTTGGAGATAAGATACAAAATGAGGTGTTAGACACCTTTTCTACTGAAGCAGCACCTAGCCTTTTCTATTATTCAACGAACCATAAAATAATAAAGAAAAAAATAACGAGGAGCTTCTTGAACAGTTTATATAATAAATATAATGTACAAAATAACAAGAGGAGCATGTTATCAATCAAAGCATATATAACAATCATATCATGACAATAAAAAAAATGCATAGCCTAAATCACGCTTTTCTAAGTATAAATAATATTCCAAATATGGGGGGAGGATTGTGTTGGAAAAGGAAGGGGAAGAAAAAAGAAAGTGGAACCAGATATTGAAGAAAGTGAGAGTGGTAAATTTTTCCCTGACTGAAATGATGTTGGGAATTGCAATAAGACCATAAAAGCAAAGGCAACGGAATGTTGGAAGATAGTAACGCAGTGAGTTAGCGTGAAAACAAGGGCTTGCACTCGACAAAGCTTTTAAGATTGATAATCAAGTTTCAAATAACGAAATTTACACTCAAAATTAAAGAGATTGAAATAGAACACTTGAACTAAATTGGCATAATATGTACAATTCATTGATAGGTAACTATGCCAACCTAATTCTCAAAAGTTATCAATATATGGAAAATTAATGTGCTCGAAATAGTTAAACTCAATTACCTTACGTGGCTTGACATCCCCGTTTGGTGTAATCTTTCTCAAACTTGAGCTTTAGGGAAGGGTAAGATCACTTCCACTCAAATAAGTGCTCGACAAGGTGTGGTGCCAATAGTGGTGGTTGGGAGGTAAAGGCATCACCCTGGTCCAAGTCCCGACGGCAAGAAGTACTGTGCTTAGTCTATTTAGGTCAGTAAGCCATTTGAGGATTTTTAGTTTTAAGACATTTCAGAGGACAATTAACTAATAGAAATGATGTATAGGGTGTAAAACACTTTTTAATCAAAATAATTTGAACTAAAAAATCAATTAAACCTTAAATTTTCAAATTTTCAAATCTAAAATTGCAAAATGGTGTTTTGCGATTTTAGGCTTAATCTAATGTTTTGGAAAAGAAAAATGGTATTTTCATGGATGAAAACACCTTAGAAATGTTTAACCAATGCCGATTTGAGAAGCAATCAAATGAGAATGACGTGAGTTGAGAAAATTTTGAATATTGGTTTTAGTGATAGGTGGAAAATGACTCGTTAGAGGCTTTAAAATGTGTCCATGTATCGATATATTTGTGGCAAAATATTTATTGTTGGCTACTGGATGAAATGTATCAATAAATTTGATGATCTATCGATACATGTTCGTGCATGTGTCAATACATATGCCTATGTAATGAAATGTATCAATAGATTTGGCGATCTATCGATACACATTCTTGCATGTATTAATATATGTGCCTATGTATCAATAAATTTATCACAGGATTTTATTTTTAGCTACTTGATAGATTGTATTGATAGATTTGGGAATCTATCGATACATGTTCTTGAATGTATCGATATATGGAGGAATGTATCAATACATGAACCTATGTAGCCTTAAAAAAGTGATTTTTCTGTTCCAAAAATTCATGGTTTGGTCCATACATGTTATGCACCCAAAATAATGTGAATTTTTTGTTTAAAAACAATTTCAAGCATTGTCTACAGCTAGTGCAAGTGAGTTTCAACATTAAATCATGAATTTTGAAAGAATTTTTTTGCTCAACAAGTTTTCCATATACCTTGAGAATTGGATGGCCATAGCATGAATGCAATTGAATGTGTATATGAGTGAATGACTATTGTTCATATCAATTTCCAAAAAATATATTGGTTTCTACATGCTTAACAAGAGTCAATCATCATGCAAAATTTATCACAATTATTATCTTTAAGGCATATGTGATGTGAGCAATAAGTATAACCATACATGCTTCATATACTTAACATTTTGCAGAAATGTTTATTATATTGAGCCAGCTTTAAAATTCTTCTTATCTAAGGTGGATTCATCATACCTAATTCACTTATAATTTTGCAAAATTGTTCTCTATCAAGTGGTTTAGTGAAAATGCCAGCAAGTTGCTTTTTTGTAATTACATATTTAAGAACAATACCCACCCTTTGAACATGGTCTTTAATGAAATGGTGTCTTATCTCTATGTGTTTTGTTCCAGAATGATGAATGGGATTCTTTGTAAGATTTATAGCACTACTGTTATCACATTTAATGGGAATTCTTTTCATACCTAGTCCATAATCTTCTAATTGTTGCTTTATCCATAGCACTTTAGCACAACAACTTCCCATAGCCATATACTCAGCCTCGATAATGGATTGAGCTAAACTATTTTGTTTCTTTAAGAACCATGAAATCAACATACTACCTAAGAATTGACATGTACTGGATGTTCTATGTCCATCTATTTTGCATCCATCAAAGTCAACATCTGCATATGAATGGAGATCAAAAGTAAAACTCCTTAGATGCCATATTCCTAAATTAGATGTGTCTTGGAAACACCTAAAATTTCTTTTAATGGCACTCAAGTGTGGTTCTCTAAGAGATGATTGAAATCTAGCGCATAGTCCTATATTAAAGCTTATGTCTAGTCTACTAGCAGTGTGATAGAGAAATGAACCAATCATGGATATATAGAGTTTTTGATCAATGGGCATACCCTTCTCATCCTTGTTAACATTATTAAGGTGCTCATGGGAGTATAGTATGTTCTTGTGATTGCCATGCCAACTTCTTGAGCATATCATTGGTGTACTTGGCTTGAATTATAATGTTTCATTTCTCTTTTGTTTTCTTTGCAATCCAAGGAAGTAGTTTGATTCACCCATCATGCTCATCTCAAATTCTCTTTGCATAGTTTAGCAAACTCTTGACAAATAAGCTCATTAGTAGCACCAAAAATAAAAGCATCAACATAAACTTGCATACTTAAAATGTTTTTACCCTTGCTTTTAATGAAAAGAGTTTTATAAACCTTCCCTTTATTAAAATAATTTTTGATTAACAATTTTGATAACGTTTCATACCAAGCTCTAGGAGCTTGCTATTGGTGTAAGATCTTAGTGAATTAATATGATTGAGCAAAGCATGGATTTCAAAAATTTCTTTTATGAAGGAAGCAAGCAATCCAATTACACAAGAGGGAGCACACATTATTATTATTATTGCAAATAACATAATCATATCCAAAAAAAAAAAGAATCTATTAAGTAAGGAAAACTATACCTTTTATTTTGAGATTCTTATTTTCAAACACCACCACACCAATAAATGATTTCTTGATGAAACAAGTTTACCACTTATTCTTCAAGAATACTTTCAACATGAACCTTGAGTGGAAAAGATGTGGAATGCAAAACTACACGATGGCAACCAATTTTGTCTCTATTTTCTTTGGAAAAAACTTGAAGGAGGAGAAGAGAAGAAACGACTAAAAATTTTTCAAGAAAAAGTACGTTATTATATTTTTACTTCCAATCTTTTTTTTTTTTATTAAAACTCTTGCTTCAAAGGTTTAATCAAAATAAAACACCTTTGAATCAATCTTGATCATCCATTTAGAGTTATGAAAGCATCAAACATGCTCAATACATTTAGAGTTATGAAAGCATCAAACATGCTCCATACTTATCAAAATTAAAATTAAAGAATAAATAATTTAATTCTTTAATTATCATTTAGAGTTCTTGATAAAGTTAAGCTCTTATTGAATAATAACTCTTATTTTATTATTTTTCATCTTTATTTAAAAAAGAGTTAATAATAAATAAAAGAGTAATAGTCAAATATGGAGCCTCCTTTTATCAACATGGATGTCTAGATTCATTTTTCAAGAATCTTTCTAAAATTACCATAATTTTAGATAACTCTTGTATGTAATTAAGACAAAAAATATTTTATCTTGTCCTAATTGAGACAAATATATTTTCTTGTCTATATTAAGACCAAAAACTTTTTTTCTTGTCTTCAATTAAGACAAATATATTTTCTTGTCTAAATTAAGACTAAACATGTTTTCTTGTCTAAATTAGAACAAACATGTTAAAGCTGTCATTTTTATACATAATTTAATTAATCAAATTAAAACATACATTCCAATTTAAACAAGTTGAATTCTATGAAGCTAAGTAGGGAATCTATTTGGACATAGATATTCCAAGCTCCAATAAACTTAAAAG